AACCACTACTAATGACTTGAAAGCTAAAAAATCAAAATGTCAAACTCCAAGGGTGCGTGTGTGCATCAATTATAAGTATATAAACAAATAAAACAATAAAGAGACACAAGTAATTATTGACGCAGAAACCCAACCGGGAAAAACCGTGAGGAACCACTAAAGGTTTACCACTAATCTACTATCTCAAGTTCGATCTACATGTACTCGAATCTTATACCTCAACTAAACCCATAATTAGATGCTCCTTTCTTTCAATTGATCTCTCCACCGAAAGTCCCTCTTCGTTATTATGGATAGCTTCACTTGAACTCTCCACTGCCATACGTTATTTAGACTTCGAGCAATTTTCTCCACCAACATCCTCGGTATGCACACTTTTCAAAGTGGATTTTGGTTATTCTCCAACCAAGGTCCCCCCTTTCCAATGCGTAAAGTTCGATTAGAGTCTCAAGATGGATTTGTCGTAGTCTCTAAGATCTAGGGTTTGTTCAAAAACTCTCTAGGTATTCAATACGTAGAATTTCTCATAAGAGACTTCTAGAGACTTACCCTAGCATGGGAAGGCTTCCTCTATTTATATGCTCGGAATAGAGTTTGTCTTGGAAATCAAGTAAACTAAAATTCATGAACAACTGCTCGAGCAGTGGGAGGACAGTCAGAGAGCAATTGTCACTAGAATGAAAAAATGATTCAAACCAAAAATGGCAGAGCAAGAACTGCTCCAGTGGCCTAAAAGCAACCTAGAAGATAGTCTCTACTGTCCAACTTATTAGCCTTTCCCGATTTTATCCCTACATATTCAGAGATCGCTCTAACCAAAGGCAAGCAAGCAAAGGACAATCCCTACTAATTTTAAAGTCAAAAATAAGCAAAAGATTGTCCCCTTGAACACTAAAAAGTGTTGCTCAAGTAGGTCCAATCAATGTTATCAGAACCGGACCGGTCATTAAACCAGTAAGGGAACTGGGTCAATGATTCACTGGTTCAACTATTGAGTCAACTGGTTGGACTGGTCATATAATAAAAAAATAAAAAATATTATAAATATATTAATAAATTGCACCATTAATCCTCAAGGTTTATCACTTATTGCATTTTAGTCCTTGAGAGATATTTTTGGTATAACCAAACATCATTAATCTTTTATTTGTACAAGCATTAATCATGCCCCAAACATAAGACTTTCCCTTTTTTTTCCTTTTTGACTTTTCTCTCCCGTTCATTTGTCTAAACTCCAGATCCTACACCGCCACACGTCTTTCGCTCTCAAACGAGTACATCTCTCTCTTTCTAACCCATACATGCATCCTTTTCTCAAACCCTTGCACGCACAACCCCCAAAACCCCCGCAGATGACTAACCCTAACAAATCAGATCAAACGATTAAAGGCTGAAGTTGTTGATGGCTGGAATGAAGGAGCAACTCGTCGCCTGAGTAAGAGAGATCACGCTGAGTGGTCGCTTCCTTAGATGTTGTTCGTCACCGGAGTGGTCGAATGAGGGTGAAGTTCAACTACGAAGTTGAAAGTGGTCAGTTGCTGGCAGCACTCTGCGATTGATTTAGGGCAAAATGTCCCAATTAGAGATTATTTTTTTAATACAAAATGATATTCCAACCACTTAATTTGAGAAAACCGTTCGATTCACGAGTTTGGTACAAAATCGGCTAATTTAACAGTTTCAAGACGGTTCGATTCCTTCAAAGGTATAACTAGAGAACCGGATCGGTCTTAGTCCCGGGTCAGGGTTGAACCAGTCTGACAGGCCGGTCCGGTTCGGCCCGGTTCTGATAACACTAGGTCCGATAAATAACTAGATATATCATTTCAAAACACATTTAAGGTTTAGAAAATATTTTTCAATAAAAACCTAATGAGTAATTTCCAGATTTCCCCAATTCCATTTATAACCCTAAACCTCCTAAGTCTGATGAATTAAACCAAGGGTTCTTATGTCTCTACGATCAGTACATTTGTCCTAAGTTTGAAGGTGCATCAGAGTAATCTTGATGCGGTATTATAACTTGATCTCCTTCCCTTCGTTATCACTTACGGATCTTGGTCTTTGAAACTTGATGACCATGAAATTAGGTTGAGAACATAAGATTTCATGAAATTAGGTTGAGGACATAAGATTTCATGAAATTACAAAAATGTTTCTAACGGTGTCCAAATTGCCACCTTATCTAGGAGTGCTTGGAGTTCTCATTTTAGGACAATAAGCACGGACGGAGTTGAAAAGGAACTAGTTGAGGAGACTCGAATTTCTACTAGTGTTAGTGGATCTTCCCCAAGAGAGAAAAACCAAAAGGAAGATTCATGAAAATTTACAACCAAGGAGGGCTTTCACGCATCAAGCTAGTAACATTTAGTTCTAACTTAAGCGTGCAATTTGTGGGGGCTAACCTAAACCCAACCCAAAAATTCAATACTTGGGCATAGATTTTCAATAGTTGGGTTAGGCTTGGGCAAAAAAAATCTCAACCCGATTTCAATTCGGGCAATATGCAATTTGAAGCTTTGAGTTGACCGAGTTCAATGCGAACCTAGACCAATTTACAAAATCAAGTTCAACCCAAAATTTGGCAACAAAACTATACAGGTATATACAAGAATTTAGGGCCTCTACTGGGTTGCACCTCTTATCTCTTCTCATTCTCCTCCAAAGTTCTCCCTCATAGAAACGCATACAAGTATTTCTCTCTCATCATCTACTCTCGTTATGTGCATATATATCTATCTTGATGTATCAATGCACCACCTTCTTTCATTCTCAACCTACTTCCATGTCTCGATGCAAATCTCAAATATGTGGAGCTAAAAGAGAAATACCCGAGTTCAAAATTTTGATAACAAGTTGAGCTCTGGTTAAAGATACTCAAGTTGGGTTGGGCTCGAGTTGAGGGTACCATACGTTGGGTTGAGCCTCGGATAACCTCTCCGCCCGCCTAGCCCACCCATGTTGCACCACCACTCGTTGGTACCTGGTACCTAGTCGGCCAATCCCAAGTCCATATCCGATGAGGGAAAGCTACAGTCTATTTTGAAAAGCCCTCTTAAGAGTTTGTAGTTCCAGTACCTTCTCCATACTTGCTCCATTGGGTTGTGATGGAAGCTACTATGTACTGCCTTCAATCATTTTAAATTTGGCAAGTAATCCTAACCTCAAGACCTCCAAAAGTTTAAGGTCTACTAGTTCAGTTCATCCAGCACCACCACCACAACAAAGCAATAAAAGAGCTACAAGCCTAAGACAGGACCTCCATCCTATGGAAGAACAATACCAACAAAGAACAATATGGAATTCAATGCATCAGAACTGAGCTAATTTCTGCAGTACTAAGTTGTCATTAGACTTGCAACAATATTAATTAGGTTCGAACAAAATGGTATGGCAAGCCATACAATCGACAGCCATTTGCTAAAATGGCAACTACACATAGGATAATGTAAGTAAAGACCCTTTCTATTGTATAGAGTAAAAACAAAAAACAACAAAGATGTCAATACAAAGTCAACAGACGAAAACCCAAAAAACTCAACCTACTTCCTAAACCAATGACCACATTACCCAAAACAAAGAAAAACCAAAAGAAGATTTCACAAGGACAAAACCTACATGGATCAAGTAATAAAACTCTTAAATCTTCCAAGAGCACTAACCAGCGAACTTGATGGTTATATGAGCAGGAAAGCAAATTCAAGATTCAGAACGAAAAAATCGAGAAATAACAATTTCAATTGAACCTGGTATGACATGAGGCAGAATCAATTAAAACTGATGTCACTAATACTTTGTACGTCAACTTACAAACACCTTAAACAATCACTATGTCTTTCTCAATTCAACAGGGCTTATTAACAACAAAACACGGAGACATGACAAGGTTATTCAATGTCCACCACCAAAGATCGCAGCACTGAATCTTAATCAGCTGAGGACAAATATCAGCCGATACCGATACGAGACATATCCAATTCAGCACCTTCTGAGAAGAAACTGACTGCACAACGATAGAATCTTGCCGTTGCTAACCCAAAAAATAAAGTGAACTACCGGCAACAATAAAGCATAACATCAATATCTGACTGGAAAATGGGCGTTAACTCATAAAAAGTGGTATCCTATAGTCATAGTTCATTAATACACAATTTGTGCACAAAAAAAGAATAGAGGAAACAATAAGGTTCGAAACCAAATTCATAAAAAAGAAAATCATATCATCAGATATGGGAAAACAATAGAATAGAGGAAAGAATAAGGTTCAAAATAGAGTTCACAAAGAAAACCATGTCATCAAAGATGGGGGAAGAAAGAGGTTTAAAACAAAATTACAATGAAGCAAATTGATTAGAGACAAAAAAAAATTTCAAATCCACTTCAGAGCAAGGACAATTTAACAAAATTGCCCAAATTCTTCTATTCAGAGCATTAGACAAACAAATCACCCTTCATTTCACAGGCACTATTCTATGTTTTCTCATTAAGTTGTGAGGAAAAAGGCACTTATTATGAAACTCCTGCTCACTTATATATCAGGACATCCAGCACTTTCCTTCCAAGAATGTCACCAGCCAAAGAAGTCTATATCATCTTAGTAGCAAGTTTGAATAGTTAGGCCTTCATGTGGTACTTCCAAGGTATCTTTGACTGATACCTGTTAAACTAATACTTGATATTTTGTGTATTTTGGCAAAAGGCTGAGCTATCAGATAATTCTCGTATAGTGTGTGGAAGAAGGTATTAAAATTCAATAACTCAAAAACTTTCAACCAAGTACAACGCATTATCTTCCTTTGGGTCTAATTAAGGAATTTGAGGGATCCAGTGTTCATACTAAGTTCCTAGTGAACTCTAAACTGGTAGTCGCTGAAGTTAGTGGCTTTGACCAAAAGCATGTGACTTCATCAAGACTTGCTATAACAGAAAACTAATATGTAAATTCATTGCTTGAATCGGCCAAAAATGGAGGAGCACCACATATAGGTTCATCAGAATTATTACCTCTTAGCACGCTTTGGATCAATAAGGGCTAGCTCGGCAAGCTTAGAGGCAGAGATGGATTTCTGAGAATCAGCCAGAGACTGCTCTTCCGTACCCAACGTTAGCATCTCCGGCTTAATTGTAGTCGACCCATCCATGGACTGACTATGTTGATGTCTTACTCTAGGCCTCTCGCAATGGGTAGGGGCCTCATTCTCAGCAGGAGGAGTCGCTGCTGCAGATGCTGGAGCCGGTGATGCTGCAACCGCTGACGAAGATGATTCACCCACTTGTAATACAGAAGTTGCAGACGATGAATTCAACTTTTCCATGTCAAGGTACATAGAGAGCAAATCTTCCTCAGTCTCATCAGAGAACGAAGGTCCTTCAAAGCCGCCCACAAAACCAAGATCACTATCAAAGTTAATGTCATCTGGAAGAGTAAGAATTTCCGAATGGGCACGTCGATGGCCCAAATTCTTTGGCGGGTTGTCAGGCATTTGGCTTATATCATGGCTAAACCAGCTAGAATCCGAAGGCATACCATGACCAAAATGACCAGATTCAGAAATATTACCCCCAGGTCCCAATGCAGGCAGATTCGATGATCCTAGTGGATCAGATTTCACAATAAAACTACTCCCAGGAGATGAAAAAACCGCACACCTTCCTGATGGAGGTAGTAAGCCTCCACCATGGTTTTGAGACTTATCCCTCTCCATCTACCAAAAGCTCCCCTTCTCACAAGCCTCAAGTCTAAAATTTTAATAAAAAAACCAACAATCAATAGTCATGAAAGCCTAGAAGCTCAGAAGACAAAGCTCAAAGAAGCCAAAACCCGAGAACTGGCAATAACTTCTCAACAAAGCAAAACCCTCGAAATAAACCACCACCTTAACAAACAGGGTTGCTTTTTCCTTCTAAATAAAAAAAGTGGGTGACCAATAAAACAACTAGAAAGCAGAAGCTACATTCAAATTACGCTAAGGAAGAGCACCAAACCCAGTAATACAAAAGACTGTTTATGAAACTTCTGTATACATGGTACGGCAGGTTTGTCCCGAATCAATTGGCTCTGAAAATAAACCTACAAATAATGAACAAAACAATTCACAACCAATATATAAAAATTTCGGAGAACATTAATAGAAACAAAGAAAATAAGGACCCGATAATTCAATGATTTTGAAAGAAAGCGAGAAATTATTTATACATCAAGAATCGTCAGAAACTCTACGAATCAAAGTTTTTTTTTCATTGTCATCTAAGAATCAAAGATCAAACTGCGGAAAGATGCAAAAAACAAATGAGAAAAATTCTTATACATTTTGCCTTTTCATTCAGATTGGAGCTGCGGAAATGAGAGTCAAGAAAGCGATGAACAGAGAATCGAAATATTTTCATATGCGAATTGAATGGACAAGCCACGTGCTTATTATAGAGAAAGAAGAGATGGAGCTTGGGAGAGATGATACTTATGCCCTAAATGCGTGACCAATATATATGTCGGAAAAGAAGGTTAATCTCACTTTCCACACTAAAAGATATTTTTATTTTAATTTTTATCCTTAAGTATTTTAATTTTTAAATTATACACTCAATATCATAAAAAAGTTGTAATGCGACTCGGATTCAAGTTTCCGTTCACTTCTTCAGCTTCCTAATTTAGGCCACACCACTTACTATAATGGAAAAAGGAATGTTTGGGCTTGGAGTACATTGTAACTTTTTTATGATATGGAAGGTATAATTTTTAAGACTTAAAATTTTTTAAAGATATAAATTAAAAATTTTAGGATTAATTGCACTAATAGTCCCTGAAGTTTACAACTTATTAAACTTTCGTCCCTAAAGTCTCATTGTAGTCAATTTAGTCCTCAAAATTTGGGTTTTAAACCAAAGTTGTCTTTCTCTCCGATTGTCGTCGAAATCTCTAACAAAAAACAAGACCTACACAGCACGTGTAGAAGACAGAAGGGCATCACTATCTTTTTCCCTTATTTTCTTGTCCATCCAACCACCATCAAGTCACGTGTGATGCACACTGCGAAACATCAAATCGACACTTCAGACGAGGGAAAAGAGACCATCCGTCATTTTTCTAGGGTTCTAAATGAAATTGGGAAAACTGGAGAAATTGAGTTTATAACGCTAAAGTGCATCATCTTCTGAGAATTGAAGGTTGACAACGATGATTGCAATGAGTATCAATTGGAGGATGATTGTTTTATTGAAGATTACGGTAAACATTTAGTATTTTCAATTTGGGTTGAAGATGACGTTTTGCAATTTTTTTTTTCAAAAAATCATATTATGGCAACTGGTTGCATGCAAAGAACTATGAATTTGAGTGTGTATCAAAAAGTTGTTGCATGCATGGCTCTAAAAAGGAACTAATATAAAACTGATGTTGATGTTATGTTGGTGTAATGGGTCCTTTATGCACTTATATAAAACTCAGTAACATGTGATCCCCCATTTTTTTGTTTTGTATTGTAGAGAAAGATTTCAAATATATTACTTTAATATTGCACCATAATGGTGAATTCCAAAAGAACTCAAAGATGGTTTATGTGGCGGGTAAGGTTAAATACTTCCACCACAAACACCCAGATTACATGTCATTGTTGGTGCTTGACGAAATGGCTAAGCAGTTAGGATACAAATGGGAGATTCTGAAGTATCATTACTATATACCAAGAAAGGACTTGGATTCTGGATTAATTTATTTGTTTTACGACACACAAGTATTCATTGTCTTCAATACATTGTACCCCAACACTATTGCTAACGTTTACATAGAACATCGAACAATCAAGGATGTTATTGATGGCCAAGACTTCACAAAATATTATGTTGAAATGAGACATTCAGTTGTAATTGAGGAGATTAATGAAGATGATGTGGATGTGTTAGATTATAGTCAGGTTACGGAAGTCCTCAAGATAGATTGTTGTAATAGAAAAAATTTGCTAGAGTATTCTAAAGTCAATGCAAGTGGTGATGCTGGAGGAGAAGAATAGAGACTCAATGGAGAAGAAGAACAGAGAGTCAATAGAGAAGAACATAAACTCAATAGAGGAGAAGAACGGAGAGTCAATGAAGGAGAGGACTAGAGAGTCAATGGAAGAGAGAATGACATACCTCAGGAGAGAACCAGGGAGTCAATGGAAAATGACATGCCTCGAGAGAGAACCAGGGAGTTAATCAGGGATAATGACAGTTTTGATTATTCTAAGTTTTATGATAGTGAATATGATCTTGATGAGGATGACAGATTGTATGAGACAAACGTAGATAAAGATGTTGAATGGGTTGGTGTAGGTGATAAGGGTAAGGATGTGAAGGATGATACTTCAGCTTTCCATGGTATAGATGAAGATGATGTGCATTCCGACTATACAAATTCAGATGAATTATGTAGTTTTGATGATTCATCTTTAGAGGATGATGGTGTCAATGTGAGGAAGCCAAAGTTTCCTAAGTTTAGAGCTGCCACTGACATGAAAAACCCATCTTTAAAGCTAGGAATGTTGTTTGGAACAACTACTGAGTTGAAGGCAGTAGTAAGGGAATATGCAATTAAGGAGGGAAAACAAATAATATTCAAGAAAAATGACCATATTAGGGTTAGGGTAGTCTGTAAAGGGAAATGTAAGTGGTTGTTATTTGCATCTGTCATGGAAGATGGGAAAACATTTCAGGTTAAAACATTCAATGACAAGCACATATGTGAAAGATCATTTCACAATAAGAATGCAAACTCAACTTGGATTGCTAATACATATGTGGATGATATTAAGGGGAATCCTGCATGCCCATTGGATGCCTTCATAGAGAGGATAATTGAGGATCACCAAATTACTGTAACACCTCATCAGATTTACAGGGCAAAAAGAAAGGCAAAGATAATGATTAAAGGTAGTCATGTAGAGCAGTACTCCAAATTATTTGAGTATGTTGAGGAGGACTAATCCAAACAGTACAATAGCTATAAAAATGGATGATTTGTCAGAGTTGGAAGGTGAGCCTAGATTTGAAAGAATGTATATTTGTTTAGATGCACTAAAGAATGGTTTCAAAGAGGCAAACAGACCAACAAGGTCCTCATGGTGGTCAGCTTCTCTCAGCAGTGGGACTAGATGCCAACAATAATATGTTCCTAGTAGCATGGTGTGTGGTAGAGATGGAAAGAACAAGCTCATGGTCATGGTTTCTAAACCTTCCAGTGAAAGACCTTCAAGTAAGAAACACAATTGGATGGACTATAATGTTTGATAAGCAAAAGGTACATTTAATGTTATCTCTTTTTTTTTATCTAGTATACATTAAATATTATCATTGAACTGAATTGTATATGATATTGTGTATATAGGGGTTAGAACGTGCAATTTATGAACTGCTTCCAAATGTTGAACATAGACATTGTGTTAGACATTTATACAACAATTTCAGCCAGAAGCACAAGGGTAAAACACTTAAGGATTTAGTTTGGGCTGCTGCAAGATCAAGTTATGTAAACTTGTTTAAAGTGAATATGGAAAAAATGAAAACTGAAGATGCAAAGGCATGTGCATGGTTTGATGATAAACATCCAAGAAATTGGTCTAGGTCCCATTTTAGCACACATCCTAAATGTAACATATTACTTAACAATATGTGTGAATGCTTTAATGCTTACATACTTGGGGCTGGAAACAAACCAATCATATCAATGTTGGAGAGAATTAGAGGTCTCTTCATGAAGAGATTATATATGGAGAGAAATGCAATGGTAAAGTGAGAAGGTGATAAATGTCCCAAAATTCAAGAAATTATAGAGAAAAAACAAGAAAGAGGCTTCTTTTTGCATATCATATTATTCTGGGGGTTCTAAATTTGAAGTTAAACATTGTTATGGTGATCAGTTTATTGTGGGCTTGGATGCCCAAACATGTGCATGCAGAAAATGGGATTTGAGTGGCATTCCTTGTTCTCATGCCATTCAAGCTATTGCATACAAAGGAGATAAACCCGAGAAGTATGTTCATAAGTGGTATCACAAAGAGTCGTATATGAATGCTTATGGGAACAATATTAATCCCATTAATGGGAAGAAGTTATGGCCTACATGTATTGAGACTCCCCATTTACCTCCATTTTACCATAAACAACCTGGGAGGCCTAAGACACTAAGAAGAAAGGAACCAGAGGAACGAACCAATTCAAATCCAAATAAGCTGAGAAAGTTCTACAATTCTTTAAGGTCTAGAAAATATGGTGTAAGGGGATATAATAAGAGAAGTTGTAGAGTTGATATGATAAATCTAGCCATAGGTTCTGGGACAGGTGTAGGGGAATGTGTTGAGGCTGGTACAAGGGCTACTGCAACTGGTGGAACAAGTGCAAGGACTTCTGCTGCAAGTGTTAATGTAAAAAGAAAGAGAGCCAACAAGGAAGGTGCAAGGACAATGTCAAGTAGAGTGATTGCTGCAGGAGCAAACACAGATTGAGTGATTGGTCCAGGAGCTAGTGTAACCAATGTTTCAAGTAGGAGAGGTAAGTTGGCTGTGAGGAGGAACAAAATGAATGCACCAACCACAACACAAGTCTCACATTTTGCAGGAGGAGCTCAGTGACTATTGGTGGAATCCAAGAACTATTGTGTTAGGGTTTAATGTTCTCTATTTTGATAGTACCATCTTTTTGGTAGTGAACATGTTGAATGTAATAGGTTTTTAATGTTTCCTATTTTATGCACTGGCTAATGATAGTAGCATCCTTTTGGAAGTAAACATGTTGAATGTAAAATGTTCTCTTTTGTCACTGAATAGGTTGTGTCCTCAATGCAATTAAACATTATTATGGTGTTTGTTGGATCACTTGATAACAGAACAAAGTTAGGAGACAAAATCAATACCAATTGCACTGACATACAAAATAGATATTAACTTACAACTTCCAATAAGATACACTTTCTACATTAACAAAGTACAAAACTAGCATCTTAGCAACTACAACACCCATAACCAGCAACTTCATTTTACAATGACATCTGACCAAGTAAGTAGAAGCAAGTGAGTACAAGCAATAACATCCAAGTGAGTACAAGCAAGTGAGTACAACAACTTCATTTTGTTAACATCCATAACCAAGTAAGTACAAGCAACAACCACACAACTTTCTCTCTCCGTTGAGATTCGGTCAACTTCACTTCTAGTAGTGTGATTTTCCTGAGTAATTCCGGTATGATATTCTTCGATCGCATACACATAGGAGGATTATGCCACACAAAATATCCACACCCACCATTTCGCTACATATTCCAACAAAAATAGGTTAAACAAAGATTGTTGTTAACTTTCATATGATACAATTTCATAAAATTTACCTCATTTCACATCCAAGGAATCTTCTTCCTGGATTTAAATCTGTCGAAGACATTAACATTCGAGTCTTTCTCCCACA